CCAGCTAATTTTTTGTATTTTTAGTAGAGACGGGGTTTCACCGTGTTGACCAGGATGGTCTCGATCTCTTGACCTCGTGATCCACCCGCCTCGGCCTCCCAAAGTGCTGGGATTACAAGTTTGAGCCACTGCGCCCGGCCAGGACCCTTTTCTTTAATCTAGTTCTCAAACGGACAGGCAAAGGTGGTCCCTAGTCTGAGCTAGTGTGACTAGTCTTTGGATAACGTTTACCTGCGTATTTTTTGAGCCGTTTGTGGCACACGGGCCTTGGTTGTTTTGAATGTTTTCTGTTAACTTTAGTGTCATCGCTTTTTCCAGCATAGTAAAATTTGCATGTTTTTTAAGCCAGCATTATCATCTAGCAGCCCTATCACTAGCCATGACCTTTGACATTTCAGAGCCCTGTTTCTCCATCTGTAAGTGGGATAATACAGTTAGACCTTTGGCAAAGGGTAGTTGTGAGGTTTAAATGAAATAGCATGACAGGCTCATTCCATTCTGGAAGTGCTCACCAGGGCCCTGGTTGTATTTATGTTCTTATTGGAATCCACTGTTACAGTGGTTTACCTACAGATGTCCTCTTTGCTGGGGTCTGTATCTGTACTTCTGATTCAGGTTTCAGATCCAGTTAAACATGTGAAAAACAGCTTGTCATGAGCTCACGTCTTTTTAGAAATTTTATTTATTTATTTAGAGACAGGGTCTCACTCTTGCCCAGGCCAGGCCAGGCCAGAATGTGGTGGCACAATCTTGGCTCACTACAGCCTTGAGCCTCTGGGCTCAGGCAATCTTCCCATCTCAGCCTCCCAAGTAACTGGGACTAAAGACACACACCACCACACCTTGCTAATTTTTGTTTTTTTTATTTTATTTTTATAGATGGGGTTTCACCATGATGGCCAGGCTGGTCTTGAACTCCTGACCTCTGGTGATCTACCCACCTCAGCCCCCCCAAAGTGCTAGGATTACAGGTGTGAGCCACCGTGCCCAATCTAATTTTTGTATTTTTTGTAGTGACAGGGTGTCAGGGTCTCAGCTGTTGCCCAGGCTGGAGTGCAGTGGCGCGATCTTGGCTCACTGTAACCTCTGCTTCCCAGGTTCAAGTGATCCTCCCACCGCAGCCTCCTGAGTACCTGGGACTATAGGTGCATGCCGCGGTGCCCGGCTAATTTTTTTAATTTTTTTTTTTGTGTGCGTGTGGAGATGAGGTTTTGCTGTGTTACCAGGGCTTGTCCGAAATTTCTGGGCTGAGTCGATCTGCCCACCTTGGCCTTCCAAATTGCTGGGATTACAAGTGTGAGCCACTGTACCTGGCCATCCTCTCTCTTATTCCCCATTCTTTCTATTATAGTAGTGTTTCAGGTTTTTACTTCTTCTCCTGTTGATTCTCTTACTCTATTCCCGTCTTTCTATTCCACAGGCACTGTCCAAGCACTTGTCTTTTTCCCCTTTACCATACAACTAGATAAGTCCTTTTCAACTAAGGTTCATCTAAATAATTAAAGCCTTCATGCCCAAAGGCTTCCATTTTAGGTAGTGAAGTGACTTCTCTAGTACTAGCTCTGTATCATCCTTGGCAGAGAGACTATTCATTCAAATTATTTTCGACTTTCTGCCTCTAATACCTCAGCGTTGCTCAAGTATTAACTGAAAACAAGGATATAACTTCTGATGAGTGAGTACCGTTTCATAAGATCTTAAAAATGAGAAACAGTCCAGATGCAAGTGAATGAATGTGATCTTATATACAAATGTTAGAAATGCATTTTTGATGAATCAAATGAAATATGAATTAAACCTCTTAGAAATTTATGAGAAAACCTTGCTATAATTCTGTTGAGGTGATTTTACTTTGAGATTCTTTATTCTATATTTTAAAATTACCTTTTATTCTTTCAGCTCTGTCTCCTGACACTAGTGTTTCAGTCTTTACCTGGCAGGTGAATATATATGGACAGGGAAGGCCTTCTATATATTTGGGGCTTTTCGATATAAATCGTTGGTATCATGCACAAATGCCAGATTCGTTAAGGTATGATTCTTTTTCTTTTTTTCTCTCTCTCATCTCTCTGGTATTTGTATGTATAGCTGATCAATGACTTAGTAATGTTTAAATTTTTCTTTTAGGTCAGGAGAACATCTACATAATTGCTCTTATTTTGCACTGTGGTCATTGGAGTCTGTTGTAAGTCGAACTTCTCCACATGACATCTTGGATATATTAGTACATGAGAGAAGTTTAAATCGAGGATTCCCTCCTTCATATCCACCTCCTGAGCAGTTTTTTAATCCAAGTACTTATAATTTTGGTATGTATTTCCTTAACATTACCTTTCGTATGCACAAAAGTACATAATTGTATACATTTTGTAGTTTATACGTTTAGTGTTATCTGTTTATATCTCACTGTTAACATATGAATGACTTAGGAAACTCATACATGCACACAAGAAATTTAGTATTTACATGTTTTATAAATGAATTATGACTTATTTTGAACTTTCTAGGAAAGATAATTAACTATTTCACATCTGATGCATTTTATAATAGTTTTTATTTTTTTGCTGTGTTTCTCAGCTGTGCTGGAGTTTTGGGGTTTTGTTTTTTGCTTTATTATTGTTGTTTTGCTGTGTAATAGGTTTGTTATCCATTCTTAGGATGAAAATATCTAGAAAAGTTTATTTAAAGATTTATTACATGTAATAATTTGACGTCTTGCAGTCTGTTTGGATAAATTTTGTTCTGTTAATGCCATTTTAAATATATGTAAGTGGATTATTTTTTAAATCTTTTTTTTTTTTTAGAAGCCACTTGTTTGTTAAACTCAGGAGTTCTTCATGTAACTTGTACTGGCTTTCAGAAGGAGGTAGGTAACAAATGGTGATTTCCTAATTGAACTGAAGCCAGATCTTAGAGTACAGTTGAATTACGGAGTTAAGTTTTAGTTAGTGTTAGTTATACTGACAGTTGTTTCAGCTTAAATGGCAGCTTCTGCTAGGTTTATGAGATTAGCAACTAGTAGTATCAGTTACTAATGACAACCTGCCAGAAGACATGTTGAATGTTTTTAGCAGGTAATTTATGTGGATGGTAATTTAACTACTTGAACTTCAAGCTTTCTGTCTTCTCAGAAAGCTTATGAGGAAATTAAGTAATACAAAGAAGGTATCTAGTAGAGTGGTACAGTGCTTGGCACAGGAAAAAAAAAACAAAAGGATGTTGAAAAATGGTTTTTTGTTTTGTTTTGTTTTGTTTGATGGTGGAATTTCAGTCTTGCTGACCAGGCTGGAGTGCAGTGGCATGATCTTGGCTCACTGCAGCCTCCACCTCCCAGGTTCAAGTGATTCTCCTGTCTCTGCCTCCTGAGTAGTTGGAATTACAGGCGCCTGCCACCACACCGGCTAATTTTTTTGTATTTTTAGTAGAGACAGGGTTTCACCATGTTGGCCAGGCTGGTTTCAAACTCCTGACCTCAGGTGATCCACCTGCCTCAGCCTCTCAAAGTGTTGGGATTACAAGGGTGAACCACAGTGCCTGTCCTGAAAAATAC